AGAGGTAGAAGGAAGGGCTGAGGAGAAAGAGAGGGAGGGAGGGAGGGAGAGAGGAGGATGGTAGTAATGCCAAGAGATAAAGATGATTCAGGCGGTACTTGCATGTTGCTTAACCTTGTGTAATGTTAGGGGGGCCTCTCTCTCAAAACATACATCAAAAATGAACGTGGTTTTAAAGTTACACACACACACACATATTATCATTACCCTTTGACGTACACACACCTGGCTATATTACTCCGAACTAATTACCGCCTACCTGTTTATTTTATATATATTATTTTTGTCCGCGTCTTGTGTGTGAGTGAGTTAAGTTGTCATTAAAAGCAGCTGTAAAGAGTGTTAACTTAGTGGCCTCTAACGTCTTGTTCCAGGTATCAGAACCCTGAAAATACTAACTGTTTCTTGCCTCTACCAATTCTTTACAGTTAGTTAATTTACTATTTTACAGTTAATTTTTTGATTATTTATATTTTTTACAGTTCATTTTATCAATATTTGCAAAAAAAAGAATAATTAGTTCATCTTATTATTTCCAGTATTATATTTTCTTATTTGTTATCAATGTGTTATGGGGAGACTCTGTCTATTAAGGTCCAGGTACAAAGAGAAGTGTAATCGTGGTGTAATTAGCATCATAAGCAATTATGCTTAACGTGGTGACATCCTTCATATGACAATGAGTGCAACAGTGAAATCATTGCAGAGCCAAGGAACACGATGCTTCCTACTGCTACAGTAGCTTAGGTTAGGTAGGGGTAGGGGTAGGGTTAGGTTATCGGGGTCAATGGATTGTAAGTATGTTGAGTATATTATTACACACACAAGTAATAACACACGACAAGACTGTGTTTACCTGAGAGCAAGCAGCCAGTGATGGAGGCAAGCAGGTTGGTCACGATAGTCGAGTTAATTAACCTGGGGTTGGAACAGACCTGTTGACGGTGGATGGCAGGTGCCAAACAGTTATTAAAGATGCATTACTAGGGGTTGACGCTCACCTGACCTGACTTATCCTAACTCATTCTGGATTCCTGACCTGATTCTAACCTAACTACGTCTTGTATGTAATAAACGTTATAAATTGAAACACCACATGACGTTATAGGGATACTGACTGAATTCATTATCAATGCTCCAACGAAGACTCCAGTATTGTTGTCTCTACTATGACTGTGTTGTATTGCTAAATAACAAAAATGATGTATAATTATTTCTTGAGGATAGTAAAGTTTTGATGAACCTTTTTATGGAGGACGTGACTACAAAGGGTTGTATTCTAGGGATCCTGTGTGTGTGTGTGTGTGTGTGTGTGTGTGTGTGTGTGTGTGTGTGTGTGTGTGTGTGTGTGAGTGTGTGTGTGTGTGTGTGTGTGTGTGTGTGTGTGTTTTGGTGATGCTTAGGTGGGCGCTTAAATCCCATTTTGAGTTCGATGGATTTAATGCCTTGAGTACGCATGAAGTTAAATAAGGCTTGGGTAGAGAGAGAGAGATAGAGAGAGAGAGAGAGAGAGAGAGAGGAGAGAGAGAGAGAGAGAGAGAGAGAGGGGGACGTGTCGACCTCTACTTTAATCACCTGTATAGTGATTTTTAATCGTTACATGGATTAATTGCTGGTGGTGGTGACAGTAATATTGCAGAGCTTACATCACAAAAACACCTATTAATCACCCTAATGACATGTGTGTGATTTTTACATTTTTCATCCTTTCCTAATGTTTTAAAATAATTGAATTTGCTTTATCATATGTATATAGAAGAATTTGTTCATGTGATTTTCTGTTTTTAATGTATTATACAAATTTGAGTGTTTTTTATTGTTTTTTGTTTAAGATAGAAAATAAATCTTGTTTTATAATTTTCATTTGATTTTTTATTATGTTTTTTGAAGTTTTAGGAAGATTTGAGTGTTTGTTTTATCGTGTTTGTTTTAGAATAATAACTGTGTTTTTATTTGTGTTTTGTTTGTGTGTCTGTGGGTGTGTGTTTGATTTGTTATTTAGAAGTGTATAGAGGTTGGTTTCCACGCCTGCCCTCATTTATCAACTGTCTCGTTAAGTATTTGTGAACGAGCCCTCTCTCCCATCCACCCTCCGTCAAACTTCACCCCACCCGTCTACCCACCGTCTACCCCCGTCTAGTCCTTCAGGGTTGGAAGATCAAGATGGCGTCTGGTTAGTCCGTCCATCCTATCCGTCCGTTTGTTAGTTTGGTCCTTGTTAAATCGTGAGGCGGAACAGGTGTACGTGATGTTTAGAGGCATCGTGTGTTGATGACGATAGGTGTGACAGTATTATTCGTCCACACGGCGTCTAGTTTCACCACACACACACACACACACACACACACACACACACAAACACACACACACACACACTAGACTCAAATGCTTCTCAGCAATTTAGTGAACTCTCTCTCCCTAGTTTGCTGTGTGTGTGTGTGTGTGTAGCCCCCAAGTTTAGGTTTGTTCTCTATGTAAACAGAGGACCTTGTTTGTATACTACTGGTGGCTGACAGTTGAACCAGAAGACAAACTTTTTAAACCTGATTCTCTCTCTCTCTCTCTCTCTCTCTCCCCCCCCCCCCCCCCCCCCCCCCCCCCCCCCCCCCCCCCCCTCTCCTTCTCTCTCTCTCTCTCTCTCCTTCTCTCTCTCTCTCCTTCTCTCTTTCTCTCCTTTCCTTTCCTCTCTCCCTTCTCTCTCTCTTTCTCTCTTCTCCTTCCTTTCTCTTTCTCTCTTTCTCTCCTTCTCTCTTTCTCTCTTCTTCCTTCTCTCTCTTTCTCCTTCTCTCTCTCTCTCCTTCTCTCTCTCTCTCTCTCTCCTCTCTCTCTCTCCTCTCTCTCTCTCTCTCTCGTGTACAGGACAGGTCACCAGCCCCTCTTATAGGTTACTTAAGAGTGTCCTTCTATCCAGGTTGGACTCGGAAGACCCTCAACTAATTGTACCTGATTTCCTACAGATTTGATGACTAGCCTTCCTGATCTCCTCATCCACATACAGGTAAGTATTTCAACCTGTCTGTCTTTAGAATGTATGTATGTATGTATGTATGTATGTATGTATGTATGTATAATGTGTGTATATGTATGTATTATGAGTGTGTGGCGACCTGTGGTGTAATGGTCATCCTCCCTCGCAAACAGTGGACGCAAGTTCGATCCCCAGGCAGGTGAAACTTAAGGGATTTCTTTACGCCATTTGCCTCTGTCATTCCAGCAGTAATTGGGAACCTGGATGTTAATTGAATTGCGGATTGTATTCCAGGGTAATGGTTAGCCAGTGCAGTTGGCGAGTTGTCCGGTCTTCTCGGACTGTTCCTTGACACTGGGTCATGCAGCTCGTTAACAAGGTGTAGTTGTTGTGTTGGTGACAGCTTCTACACCTTAAACAAATTCACTCCTAGGAGGTCCTTGGGCCGGCCATCCTCGATTTCGAGGGGCTTCCGATAATTATAATGTGTGTATGTATGCCTAGATGTATACATGTAAGTGTATGAATGCATGTATACTATATATGTGAATATATGCTAATGTATAATGCTTATTCATATATGTATTCACGTGTGTGTGATGATTACTGTATACGTGTAAGTTTATACATCGTTTTCCCATCATCAATAATGTATATATTCTTTCCTCTCAGACATTACAAGGAACAGACAAGGCTTTTATTAATGTTATTCTCTAAATATAATATTCAATTGTATTATTACTCCAAATTTTGTATTAATTGTTTACAAATAGTAATTGTTCAGTGTCTGTCTGTCTGTCTGTCTGTGCCCCCCTGTCTGTCTTCTGTCTGCTGTCTGCTGTCCCCCTGTCTGTGTGCTGTCTTGTCTGTCTGTCTGTCTGTCTGTCTGTCTGTCTGTCTGTCTGTCTGTCTGTCTGTCTATCTGTTGGTTCCTTAAAGTACTATATACTTAAATTCTTCCCTTAAAACTCTCCTCACTTAGAATTTCTCCTAAAATGTCTCCTTACCTTAAAATTTATGCCTAAAACAGTAGGTACTTAAAATGAGTAGTTTACCTGGGCGTGTGGTGAAGAGTGAGGGTAATAAATGACAGGTGGAGGGCGTCTTTAAGGTACACACACACACACCACACACACACACACACCTGTGGCGGCCCTCTTAGTGAACACCTGAAGAGAGAGAGAGAAAAGAGAAGAGATAAAGTGATCGAGGAAGGAGAAGAAAAAAAGAGAGAGTAAAGTGAGAAAGTGAAAAAAGAAAAAATGGGGGTAATGAAAAAAAAAACAAAAAAGGAAAAAGAATGAAATAGCAATAAAAACAGACAGAAAAACACAAACAAAATAAAACATAAAAAAAAAAAAACACAACAGCACCACCACCATCGGCTCCCTCCGTCCAGAGTGTTGACCTACCCGACGTGAGGCTCAGACTCAACTCGTCATCCAAACCTTTCAGAGAACACAATAACAACACCCCCCCCACCCCCCCCCCCACCTCCCTCCTTCCCCTCACCTCCTCCTTACCCTCACTCTCACAACAATAACAAGAGGTAGATTGATTAAGTCGGAGATTGAGTTATTGAGTGTTATTAATATTATTACGGAGGCTGTTATTGTCTGTGTGTGATGTTATTAAGGTGAGTTATGGGCCAGGCAGGTGTTGGTACTACTGCTTCCTGTTGAAAAATACGTGTTAGGTTAGGTTAGGTTAGGTTAGGTTGGTACGTTTGAGCATAGGATGGTGTGTGGGGGGTGTTACTGTTGCTTAAAACTGTACAAACACAAACACCTTGACACCTTATTTCTGGCCTCTCATTTACACCCCATAACTTACATAGTCATATTTACACTTCATGATTTACAGGGCGTCTCGTATTTGGCTCATAACTTACAGGCGCCTCATTTACAGCTCATAACTTACAGTGGTGGGCGGTGTGTCATATGTTTTACACTAAGTTGGCTACCTGAGTGCAGTCTCCCTCTGGTGGTGAAAACTAGTCACTCTGGTCATATTAATGTTTTTGGTATGAGTGGAGAGGGAGTAGTGTGAGGTGGTGGAGGGGTGTGGGAGTGGTGGTGGTGTGGGGGTAGGGAGGTGGTGGTGGTGTGGGGGTGATAGAGGACGGGTGGTGGTGTGGTGTGGGGTAGTGGGCAGATTTAGGTGAAAGGAGTGTGATTGGTGAGGGTGGGGGAGGTGGTGAGGAGGATTGATAGTGTTATATAATAGGACCAGAATAGGTTACCGGCCCTCCTCTCCTCCTCCTCCTCCTCTTGCGTAAATAAAAAATTATATTTATTTTTGCAATTTTTATTTATTATTTTATAGAGATAAAATAACTACACAAGAAAACATAATTTTCAAATATAATTTTGATATTTTTAAGTTTATTTCTATTTGAGAGAAATAAGGGAGGGGGCAAAACTCCATGAGACAAACCATAATTTTAGAAGATAGTTTCTAATATTTTCTGAGAAAAAAAAATAAAAGGTTATAAAAATGTTTGACGTTTGTTGAAGTAAATCCTTCATAATCTTGCACGGCCTGATGCCTTTGTTTACCTGTGGCCAGTTACCTGTGTCCAGTACCATATATCCAGTTACCAATGGATTACCTGTGTCCAGTTACCTGTGTCCAGTTACCTGTGTCCAGTTACCTGTGTCATTACCTTTGTCCAGTTACCTGTGTCCAGTTACCTGTGTCCAGTTACTGCCATGATTACCTGTGTCCAATTTACCTGTGTCCAGTACCTTTGTCCAGTTACCTGTGTCAGTTCCCATGGCCAGTTACCTGTGGCCAGTTACCTGTGTCAGTTACCTGCGACCAGTTACCTGTGTGATTACCTGTGGCCAGTTACCTGTGGCCAGTTACCTGTAATCCAGTTACTGTAGCCAATTACCTGTGGATTACCTGTGTGAATACCTGACCTGTGGCCAGTTACCTGTGGCCAATTACCTGTGGCCAGTTACCTGGCCAGTTACCTGTGGCCAGAGATGCCTTTGTCCAGTTACCTGTGGCCAGTTACCTGTGGCCAGTTACCTGTGCCAGTTACCTTTGTCCAGTTACCTGTGGCCAGTACCTGTGGCCAGTACCTTTTCAGTTACCTTTGTCAGTTACCTGTGGCCAGATTACCTTTGTCCAGTTACCTGTGGCCAGTTACCTGTGGCCAGTTACCTTTGTCCAGTTACCTGTGGCCGTTACCTGTGGCCAGTTACCTGTGGCCAGTTACCTGTGTCCAGTCACCTGTGTCCAGTTACCTGTGTCCAGTTACCTGTGTCCAGTTACCTGTGTCCAGTTACCTGTGGCCAGTTACCTTGTCCAGTTACCTTTGTCCAGTTACCTGTGTCCAGTTACCTGTGGCCAGTTACCTTTGTCCAGTTACCTGTGGCCAGTTACCTGTGGCCAGTTACCTGTCAGTTACCTGTGGCCTTACACCTGGCGATTACCTGTGGCCAGTTACCTGTATCCAGTACCTGTAGCCAGTTACCTGGCCAGTTACCTGTACCCAGCCAGTGCCTTTGTCCAGTTACCTGTGTCCAGGCCTGTAGCCAGTTACCTGTGGCCAGTTACCTGTGGCCAGTTACCTGTGTCCAGTTACCTGTGCCAGTTACCTGTGTCCAGTTACCTGTAGCCAATTACCTTTGTCCAGTTACCTGTGGCCAGTTACCTGTGGCCAGTTACCTTTGTCCAGTTACCTGTGTCCAGTTACCTGTGGCCAGTTACCTTTGTCCAGTTACCTGTGGCCAGTTACCTGTGGCCAGTTACCTTGTCCAGTTACCCAGGCCAGTTACCTGTGGCCAGTTACCTGTGGCCAGTTACCTGTGGCCAGTTACCTGCAATGGCTACCTGTGGCCAGTTACCTGTGGCCAGTTACCTGTGTCCAGTTACCTGTGTCCAGTTACCTGTGTCCAGTTACCTGTGTCCAGTTACCTGTGTCCAGTTACCTGTGTCCAGTTACCTGTGTCCAGTTACCTGTGGCCAGTTACCTGTGGCCAGTTACCTGTCCAGTTACCTGTGGCCAGTTACCTGTGTCCAGTTACTCAGTCCAGTTACCTGTGTCCATTACCTGTGTCCAGTTACCTGTGTCCAGTTACCTGTGTCCAGTTACCTGTGTCCAGTTACTGTGGCCAGATACCTGTGTCCAGTTACCTGTGTCCAGTTACCCAGTCCAGTTACCTGTGTCCAGTTACCTGTGTCCAGTTACCTGTGTCCAGTTACCTGTGTCCAGTTACCTGTGTCCAGTTACCTGTGTCCAGTTACCTGTGTCCAGTTACCTGTGTCCAGTTACCTGTGTCCAGTTACCTGTGTCCAGTTACCTGTGTCCAGTTACCTGTGTCCAGTTACCGTGTCCAGTTACCTGTGTCCAGAAATACGAAAACAGTAATGCTAACAACAACAAAACAAACCGACAATAATAATAATAATAATCATAGGGTTAATTCATCGCACTCGGGGATTCACTCAACGTGTTCAAAGGTTGCTCACCATACTCAAGGGGTTAAGTCACCATACTTAGGAGGTTAAGTCACCATACTCAAGGGTTAAATCACCATACTTAGGGAGGTTGTCACCATACTCAGGGGGTTAAGTCACCATACTAAATCGATCACCCAAACCTTCCTCACAGTAATACTGACCAAACACACTTGCATCACACCTCGCCCTGGCCGTACACAGGCATTAAAGAAAGACTAAAAGGCAACAGGACCAATCACTTTAAAATCTCGTGTTGGGTGATGTGTCTGCTGGTGAACCGTGAATGCAAAGACATGTGAAACTTGTTAGTGTGCGCCAGGTAGATTGTTGCTAATTGGTCATACACCTGAGCTAGGGAATTTTACGCGGTAGTTCCTCTAATTAATGACTGACTATTCGGTGATTAACCCAGATGACATGATGAGGTTATTAACATAGCTGCTTGACCTGATCTGACCTGATCTGATCTACCATGATGATTAATATTATGTGTTTGTGTTGTGCAGAGGTCATTTAAGGTTACCTGTAGTATTTGACCTCATAAGTCCACTGTGGTGATGGAGATGGTGGTGATGGAGGTGGTGGAGATGGTGGTGGTGGAGGTGGTGAAGATGGTGGTGGAGGTGGTGGTGGTTTGAGGTGGTGGAGGTTATGAGGTAAACTACCTTAATTAGTTGTGGTTCAGGTAATGAGTGATTCAGTTGTCTCTCACTTACCTGTCCAGTAACTCTTCTTGCCTGTTAAGGTCCGCGTCTCACTCTGGGGAGCCTGAAGAAGAGTCCTGTGTTTAATCTTTTCTGGTGAAGCAGTGAAGCAGTGTATTAGTGAAGCAGTGTAGCAGTGAAGCAGTGTATTAGTGAAGCAGTGTAGCAGTGTATTAGTGAAGCAATGTATTAGTGAAGCAGTGTATTAGTGAAGCAGTGTAGCAGTGAAGCAGTGTATTAGTGAAGCAGTGTAGCAGTGAAGCAGTGTATTAGTGAAGCAGTGTAGCAGTGTATTAGTGAAGCAGTGTAGCAGTGAAGCAGTGTAATAGTGAAGCAGTGTATTAGTGAAGCAGTATTAGTGAAGCAGTGTATTAGTGAAGCAGTGTATTAGTGAAGCAGTGTAGCAGTGTATTAGTGAAGCAGTAGCAGTGAAGCAGTGTAATAGTGAAGCAGTGTAGCAGTGTATTAGTGAAGCAATGTATTAGTGAAGCAGTGTATTAGTGTGAGCAGTGTAGCAGTGAAGCAGTGTATTAGGTGAAGCAGTGTAGCAGTGAGCAGTGTATTAGTGCGTAGCAGGTATTAGGTGAAGCAGTGTAGCAGTGAAGCAGTATTAGTGAAGCAGTGTAGCAGTGAAGCAGTGTATTAGTGAAGCAGTGTATTAGTGAAGCAGTGTATTAGTGAAGCAGTGTATTAGCGGCAGTGTAGCAGTGTATTAGTGAAGCAGTGTGTTAAGCGAAGCAGTGTAAGAGCGGAAGCAGTGTATTAGTGAAGCAGTGTGAAGTGTATTAGCGGTGTATTGGTGAAGCAGTGTAATAGTGAAGCAGTGTAGCAGTGTATTAGTGAAGCTGCGTAGCAGTGAAGTGTATTAGTGAAGCAGTGTAGCAGTGTATTAGTGAAGCAGTGTAGCAGGAATATTAGTGAAGCAGTGTATTAGTGAAGCAGTGTAATAGTGAAGCAGTGTATTAGTGAAGCAGTGTATTAGTGAAGCAGTGTATTAGTGAAGCTGTGTATTAGTGAAGTTGTTAGTGAAGCAGTGTATTAGTGAAGCAGTGAAGAGTGTATTAGTGAAGCAGTGTAGCAGTGTATTAGTGAAGCAGTGTATTAGTGAAGCAGTGTATTAGTGAAGCAGTGTATTAGTGAAGCAGTGTATTAGTGAAGCAGTGTATTAGTGAAGCTGTGTATTAGTGAAGCAGTGTATTAGTGAAGCAGTGTATTAGTGAAGCAGTGAAGCAGTGTATTAGTGAAGCAGTGTAGCAGTGTATTAGTGAAGCAGTGTATTAGTGAAGCAGTGTATTAGTGAAGCAGTGTATTAGTGAAGCAGTGTATTAGTGAAGCAGTGTATTAGTGAAGCAGTGTATTAGGTGAAGCAGTGTATTAGTGAAGCAGTGTATTAGTGAAGCAGTGTATTAGTGAAGCAGTGTATTAGTGAAGTGAAGCAGTGTATTAGTGAAGCAGTGTAGCAGTGTATTAGTGAAGCAGTGTATTAGTTAGCAGTGTATTAGTTAAGCAGTGTATTAGTGATTCAGTGAGAATCAAAGATGCGGTCCTCAACACCTGTTACTAACACCTGCCCTCGACACCTTAAACACTTGTTCATAACACCTGTCATCAACACCTGTCTTAAACACTTGTTCATAACACCTGTCATCAACACCTGTCTTAAACACTTGTTCATAACACCTGTAAATTACAAAACTTGGAGATGTTGCCTTTGTGTGTTGAAGGCCTGAGTGGTGTTTGTCGTTAATGTTGTGTTAACAATGACCAGATCCTCTCCGCAACGTACCTGTATGGATGTATGTATGTATGTATGCATGTATGTCTGTATGTATGTATGTATGTATGTATGTATGTATGTATGTATGTATGTATGTACCTGTATGTATGTATGTATGTATGTATGTATGTATGTATGTACCTGTATGTATGTATGTATGTATGTATGTATGTATGTATGTATGTATGTATGTATGTATGTATGTACCTGTATGTATGTATGTATGTATGTATGTACCTGTATGTATGTATGTATGTATGTATGTATGTATGTATGAATGTATGTATGTATGTATGTAGGGATTAGATTAGTTTAATTTAAAATCATTAACACTAATACCCACGTTAAAAGTTACCCCCGCCAGCACCACAGACTCCTCGGCCACAGCTGGAGGACAACGAGAAAGTGCATTAAATAATCAATGGCAGCAGCGGAACACACCTGTCGCCTCCAAACCGACTGGTAATTTAACCATCTGAAGTCTTTACTGTATAACCAATAATCCAATGCTACAATCACCTTATTATTGAAAGGAGACTGGAAGTGACGTCACCCAGGTATACTAATCTTAAACACTCACCTGATCTTATTGGACAGGTGAGAACGTATCTACCTGTCTCACTTAACCTACTTTAAAACAATTATATTTTTTACCCTACCTGGTGAAGTAAGAACGTATCTACCTGCGAAAAACAGTTACTTACCGTATATTTTTCCCTTAACAGGTAAAAACGTATCTAATTAACGAACTTAATCTAGGGTACAATAAACCTTAATTATATTTCACCTGTAACTAACTTGAGGTTAGTTAATAGTGTTACTTATGTTGTATGTCTTTTGGCTGTGGTGAGAATGGTGAGGGAAAACAGTGTGTGTGTGTGTGTGTGTGTGTGTGTGTGTGTGTGTGTGTGTGTGTGTGTGTCTAAGTCTCTGTGTGTGTGTTAAGGTAGAGTCTCAGTGTATTTTCGTCACCATTAAATCCTCCATTTTTGTGTGGTGGTGTGAGTGAGTGCGTGAGTGAGTGCGTGAGTGAGTGAGTGAGTGAGTGAGTGTTAGGGAAGCTCTTATTGTCTCACTCACTGTAGAAGGAAGCTTAAAGGCGACAGTGTGAGGCAGGGCTGTGGAGTCGAAGACAAAACCTTCGACTCCGACTCCTCAAATTTTTATGCTTCCGACTCCGACTCCGACTCCTTGGCCTATTTGTAACAACTATTTCTACCATCCTAATTGTAATTTGTATGTTGTAACCTGCATAGGTAAAAAGTAAAACACCGTGGCTATACTGCTACAGCTTTATTAATGATCTGGACGATATTTAAGAACTACAAAAAGATGATAGGCTTGACTTTCAAAGTTTCAATCAAAAGAAAAATAAATTTATTAAGAATTCAAGATATTAACTAGAAAACACCATTTACATGTATATCTAAAAGTTCGATCTCAGCATATGAATTTTGTTTAAGCTCATAATCTGATGTGGATCTAAATGATGATCCTACAATTCCTTTTAAAGTAAAGTTATATATTTATGTACATTAAAGAAATGAATACCTTATTAAGGAAAATGGATAAACCTTACATGATTAAGTTATTAAATTAAATTTGCCTTAATCTCACCAAAAACAGGTTGTAGCTAATTGTTTTGTAGCTGAGAGCCTCTGTGCAGTTTTCAACGAAACAAAATTTGATATAATTCAAAATTTCAAATGGTAAAGAAGAGACTATCGTCCAAAATTATAGTGCTATACTGTGCCTGCTACAATAAATTCATAATAATGCTTATAAAATGGAAATAAATTCTTTTAATAATTTAAGAAAATTAGTGGGATCAGTGGAATCACTGCAATGAATATGCCTGAGTTCATATATTTGTTCTTAGGAACAGAATAGCTTGAGTCGGAGTCGGAGTCTGGACAATTTTACCGACTCCGACTCCACAAGCCGAAATTTCCTCCGACTCCTCGACTCCGACTCCACAGCCCTGATAGGTACTCCTGAATGTGCTGCTTAAGGATCTGTTAACCAAAATTTGATATCTTGATTATAACTTGTTCAAATAGCTTTTAGAAAATGTTCAAATGATTTTTAGAATATTTTAATTACTTTTGCAATGCTAATTACTCGCCACTTATGGGTTTTCGAGGTCATTTCTTGGTGCTTGTGTATTATTCTGGATGTACTTAAATAGTTAGGCACATTAAATTTTAGTTCAGAGAGAAAACGTATTTTTGGCCAAAAATCCTTTAAGGCTATAGACTTACAATTTTCGTCATTTCGGCCAAAAAATGGATTTTGTTCAAAATTTCAGTATAGGTACTCCTGAATGTGCTGCTTAAGGATCTGTTAACCAAAATTTGATATCTTGATTATAACTTGTTCAAATGGCTTTTAGAAAATGTTCAAATGATTTTTAGAATATTTTAATTACTTTTGCAATGCTAATTACTCGCCACTTATGGGTTTTTGAGGTCATTTCTTGGTGCTTGTGTATTATTCTGGATGTACTTAAATAGTTAGGCACATTAAATTTTAGTTCAGAGAGAAAACGTATTTTTGGCCAAAAAACCTTTTAAGGCTATAGACTTACAATTTTCGTCATTTCGGCCAAAAAATGGATTTTGTTCAAAATTTCAGTATAGGTACTCCTGAATGTGCTGCTTAAGGATCTGTTAACCAAAATTTGATATCTTGATTATAACTTGTTCAAATGGCTTTTAGAAAATGTTCAAATGATTTTTAGAATATTTTAATTATTTTTGCAATGCTAATTACTCGCCACTTATGGGTTTTCGAGGTCATTTCTTGGTGCTTGTGTATTATTCTGGATGTACTTAAATAGTTAGGCACATTAAATTTTAGTTCAGAGAGAAAATGTATTTTTGGCCAAAAATCCTTTAAGGCTATAGACTTACAATTTTCTTCATTTCGGCCAAAAAATGGATTTTGTTCAAAATTTCAGTATAGGTACTTCTGAATGTGCTGCTTAAGGATCTGTTAACCAAAATTTGATATCTTGATTATAACTTGTTCAAATGGCTTTTAGAAAATGTTCAAATGATTTTTAGAATATTTTAATTACTTTTGCAATGCTAATTACTCGCCACTTATGGGTTTTTGAAGTCATTTCTTGGTGCTTGTGTATTATTCTGGATGTACTTAAATAGTTAGGCACATTAAATTTTAGTTCAGAGAGAAAACGTATTTTTGGCCAAAAATCCTTTTAGGCTATAGACTTACAATTTTTGTCATTTTCGGCCAAAAAATGGATTTTGTTCAAAATTTCAGTATAGGTACTCCTGAATGTGCTGCTTAAGGATCTGTTAACCAAAATTTGATATCTTGATTATAACTTGTTCAAATGGCTTTTAGAAAATGTTCAAATGATTTTTAGAATTTTTTAATTACTTTTGTAATGCTAATTACTCGCCACTTATGGGTTTTCGAGGTCATTTCTTGGTGCTTGTGTATTATTCTGGATGTACTTAAATAGTTAGGCACATTAAATTTTAGTTCAGAGAGAAAACGTATTTGTGGCCAAAAATCCTTTACGGCTTTAGACTTACAATTTTTTGTCATTTTCGGCCAAAAAATGGATTTTGTTCAAAATTTCAGTATAGGTGTACCCTGAATGTGTTGCTTACGATCTGTTAACCAAAAATTTGATATCTTGATTATAACTTGTTCAAATGGCTTTTAGAAATGTTCCAAATGATTTTTTGTGAATATTTTAATTACTTTTGCACGCTAATTACTCGCCACTTATGGGTTTTCGAGGTCATTTCTTGGTGTTGTGTATTATTCTGATGTACTAAATAGTTAGGGCACATTAAATTTTAGTTCAGAGAGAAAAAGTATTTTTGGCCAAAAATCCTTTAAGGCAATAGACTTACAATTTTTGTCATTTTCGGCCAAAAAATGGATTTTATTCAAAATTTCAGTATAGGTACTCCTGAATGTGCTGCTTAAGGATCTGTTAACCAAAATTTTATATCTTGATTATAACTTGTTCAAATGGCTTTTAGAAAATGTTCAAATGATTTTTAGAATATTTTAATTACTTTTGTAATGCTAATTACTTCCCACTTATGGGTTTTCGAGGTTATTTCTTGGTGCTTGTGTATTATTCTGGATGTCCTTAAATAGTTAGGCACATTAAATTTTAGTTCAGAGAGAAAAACGTATTTTTGGCCAAAAATCCTTAAGGCTATAGACTTGCCAATTTTTGTCATTTTCGACTAAAAATGGATTTTGTTCAAAATTTCAGTATAGGTACTCCTGAACGTGCTGCTTACGATCTGTTAAATCAAAATTTGATATTCTGATTATAACTTCTGTTCAAATGGCTTTTATAAAATGTTCAAATGATTTTTAGAATATTTTAATTACTTTTGCAATGCTAATTACTCGCTACTTATGGGTTTTCAAGGTCATTTCTTGGTGCTTGTGTATTATTCTGTATGCACTTAAATAGTTAGGCACATTAAATTTTAGTTCAGAGAGAAAAAGTATTTTTGGCCAAAAATCCTTTAAGGTTATAGACTTACAATTTTTGTCATTTTCGGCCAAAAAATGGATTTTGTTCAAAATTTCAGTATAGGTACTCCTGAATGTGCTGCTTAACGATCTGTTAACCAAATTTTGATATCTTGATTATAACTTGTTCAAATGGCTTTTAGAAAATGTTCAAATGATTTTTAAAATATTTTAATTACTTTTGCAATGCTAATTACTCGGCACTTATGGGTTTTCGAGGTCATTTCTTGGTGATTGTGTATTATTCTGGATGTACTTAAATAGTTAGGCACATTAAATTTTAGTTCAGAGAGAAAAAGTATTTTTTGGCCAAAAATTCTGTAAGGGGTAAGCCTTACAATTTTTGGCATTTCGTCCACAAATGGATTTTGTTCAAAATTTCAGCATAGGTACTCCTGAATGTGCTGCTTAAGGATCTGTTAACCAAAATTTGATATCTTGATTATAACTTGTTCAAATGGCTTTTAGAAAATGTTCAAATGATATTTAGAATATTTTACCATTTTCGTAATGCTAATTATCGCTACTTATAGGTTTTCGAGGTCATTTCTTGGTGCTTTCAGTATTATTCTGGATGTACTTTTAAATAAAGTTAGTACATTAAATTTTAGTTCAGAGAGAAAACGTATTTTTGGTCAAAAAATCCTTTTTTTTAAGGCTATAGGACTTGACAATTTTTGTCATTTCGGCCAAAAATGATTTGTCTAAATTTCGGTACAGGTAATTCTGAATGTTGCTTAAGGATCTGTTAACCAATATTTGATATCTTGATTTTAACTTGTTCAAATGGCTTTTATAAAATGTTCAAATGATTTTTAGAATATTTTAATTACTTTTGCAGTGCTAATTACTCGCTACTTATGGGTTTTCAAGGTCATTTCTTGGTGCTTGTGTATTATTCTGTATGCACTTAAATAGTTAGGCACATTATATTTTAGTTCAGAGAGAAAAAGTATTTTTGGCCAAAAATCCTTTTAGGCTATAGACTTACAATTTTTGTCATTTTCGGCCAAAAAATGGATTTTGTTCAAAATTTCAGTATAGGTACTCCTGAATGTGCTGCTTAAGGATCTGTTAACCAAAATTTGATATCTTGATTACAACTTGTTCAAATGGTTTTTAGAAAATGTTCAAATGATTTTTAGAATATTTTAATTACTTTTGCAATGCTAATTACTCGCCACTTATGGGTTTTCGAGGTCATTTCTTGGTGCTTGTGTATTATTCTGGATGTACTTAAATAGTTAGGCACATTAAATTTTAGTTCAGAGAGAAAACGTATTTTTTTGGCCAAAAATCCTTTAAGGCTATAGACTTACAATTTTTGTCATTTCGGCCCAAAAATGGATTTTGCTCAAAATTTTAGTATAGGTACTCCTGAATGTGCTGCTTAAGGATCTGTTAACCAAAATTTGATATCTTGATTATAACTTGTTCAAATGGCTTTTAGAAAATGTTCTAATGATTTTTAGAATATTTTAATTACTTTTGCAATGCTAATTACTCGCCACTTATAGGTTTTCGAGGTCATTTCTGGTGCTTGTGTATTATTCTGATGTGTTCTAAATAGTTAGGCACATTAAATTTTAGTCTGTAGAGAAAAACGTATTTTTGGCCAAAAACCTTTATGCTGAGAGATTCTACAATTTTGTCATTTTCGGCCAAAAAATGGATTTTTTGTCTAAAAATTTCAGTATAGGTACTCCTGAATGTGTTGCCATGATCTGTTAACCAAAAATTTGATATATCTTAATTATAACTTGTTCAAATGGCTTTTAGAAAATGTTCAAATGATTTTTAGAATATTTTAATTTCCTTTGTAATGCTAATTACTCGCCACTTATGGGTTTTCGAGGTCATTTCTTGGTGCTTGTGTATTATTCTGGATGTACTTAAATAGTTAGGCACATTAAATTTTAGTTCAGAGAGAAAACGTATTTTTTGGCCAAAAATCCTTTAAGGCTTTAGACTTACAATTTTCGTCATTTTCGGCCAAAAAATGGATTTTGTTCAAAATTTCAGTATAGGTACTCCTGAATGTGCTGCTTAAGGATCTGTTAACCAAAATTTGATATCTTGATTATAACTTGTTCAAATGGCTTTTAGAAAATGTCCAAATGATTTTTAGAATATTTTAATTATTTTGCAATGCTAATTACTCGCCACTTATGGGTTTTCGAGGTCATTTCTTGGTGCTTGTGTATTATTCTGGATGTACTTAAATAGTTAGGCACATTAAATTTTAGTTCAGAGAGAAAACGTATTTTTGGCCAAAAATCCTTTAAGGCTATAGACTTACAATTTTCTTCATTTCGGCCAAAAAATGGATTTTGTTCAAAATTTCAGTATAGGTACTCCTGAATGTGCTGCTTAAGGATCTGTTAACCAAAATTTGATATCTTGATTATAACTTGTTCAAATGGCTTTTAGAAAATGTTCAAATGATTTTTAGAATATTTTAATTACTTTTGCAATGCTAATTACTCGCCACTTATGGGTTTTTGAGGTCATTTCTTGGTGCTTGTGTATTATTCTGGATGTACTTAAATAGTTAGGCACATTAAATTTTAGTTCAGAGAGAAAACGTATTTTTGGCCAAAAATCCTTTAAGGCTATAGACTTACAATTTTCGTCATTTCGGCCAAAAAATGGATTTTGTTCAAAATTTCAGTATAGGTACTCCTGAATGTGCTGCTTAAGGATCTGTTAACCAAAATTTGATATCTTGATTATAACTTGTTCAAATGGCTTTTAGAAAATGTTCAAATGATTTTTAGAATATTTTAATTACTTTTGCAATGCTAATTACTCGCCACTTATGGGTTTTCGAGGTCATTTCTTGGTGCTTGTGTATTATTCTGGATGTACTTAAATAGTTAGGCACATTAAATTTTAGTTCAGAGAGAAAACGTATTTTTGGCCAAAAATCCTTTAAGGCTTTAGACTTACAATTTTTGTCATTTTCGGCCAAAAAATGGATTTTGTTCAAAATTTCAGTATAGGTACCAGGGCTGTGGAGTCGAAGACAAAACCTTCGACTCCGACTCCTCAAATTTTTATGCTTCCGACTCCGACTCCTTGGCCTATTTGTAACAACTATTTCTACCATCCTAATTGTAATTTGTATGTTGTAACCTGCATAGGTAAAAAGTAAAACACCGTGGCTATACTGCTACAGCTTTATTAATGATCTGGACGATATTTAAGAACTACAAAAAGATGATAGGCTTGACTTTCAAAGTTTCAATCAAAAGAAAAATAAATTTATTAAGAATTCAAGATATTAACTAGAAAACACCATTTACATGTATATCTAAAAGTTCGATCTCAGCATATGAATTTTGTTTAAGCTCATAATCTGATGTGGATCTAAATGATGATCCTACAATTCCTTTTAAAGTAAAGTTATATATTTATGTACATTAAAGAAATGAATACCTTATTAAGGAAAATGGATAAACCTTACATGATTAAGTTATTAAATTAAATTTGCCTTAATCTCACCAAAAACAGGTTGTAGCTAATTGTTTTGTAGCTGAGAGCCTCTGTGCAGTTTTCAACGAAACAAAATTTGATATAATTCAAAATTTCAAATGGTAAAGAAGAGACTATCGTCCAAAATTATAGTGCTATACTGTGCCTGCTACAATAAATTCATAATAATGCTTATAAAATGGAAATAAATTCTTTTAATAATTTAAGAAAATTAGTGGGATCAGTGGAATCACTGCAATGAATATGCCTGAGTTCATATATTTGTTCTTAGGAACAGAATAGCTTCAGTCGGAGTCGGAGTCGGAGTCTGGACAATTTTACCGACTCCGACTCCGACTCCACAAGCCGAAATTTCCTCCGACTCCTCGACTCCGACTCCGACTCCACAGCCCTGGTGTGAGGACTCTGGGCCAGTCGCTTATGTCTACGGGACCCGCGCGCCGGGTTTCACTTACTAAACCTAATCTAACCACGGGGCGTGAGTGAGTGAATTAGGTTAGGTTGCTATTCCTATTATTATTTTATTCATATCATTGTTATTTTATTATCATTATTGCTATTATTATTGTTGTTGTTTACATAATCATTGCTATTATTACCCCCCCCCCCACACTCCGTCCTGCACAAGACCTGCAACATCCTGCATACATCAGATACCGTGGCGACATCTTCCAATATTTCATCTGCTGTAAAATATCGCTTCGTTATTTTTGTACTTTTGCTTATTTTTATTAAGTGATTAATTATATCAGGGGAAGGAATAATTTTGTGTGTGTGTGTGTGTGTGTGTGTGTGTGTGTGTGTGTGTGTGCAGATAGATATCCCTTGTATACCTTCCATTGCTGTTAATGTGTTTATATATATACCAGTATATTTTCCCTGGTATCAAATAAATACCATCAATAACAATAGGATACCTCACCTGGTATACCCCCCAAAAACCAGGATCCAGGTACCAATAAACCTTTCCATTACCTGAAGAAATACCTGCACACCGCCCTTACTGTCTCGCCCACCCAGGTACTGTTCACTTCTTCACTATTATAATTGGAACACATTTTTAGTGTGTGTTGTGGTGAAGTAATTTCAGTCAGTGGCCGATAATATCAGAGCCAAGAATGTGACCATCTCTTAGATAGGAGTCAGTACCCACACATGTTTTATGTATATATATGTATAATGTAAGTTTGTGTGTTTGATGTTTGTTTTGTATGTAGGTGTGTTTGTGTGGATGTCTGTATGTATTTAGTGACCTCAAAAGATTTAATTCGTGTTTGGGATGATCTCTCTCTCTCTCTCTCTCTCTCTCTCTCTCTGTGGTGATGAGAGACGAAGGAAAGTTTATAAAAAAAGATCTTTGGCTGTAGAGTGAAAGAAGGGACCATCTGTCAGTCAGCTGTCAGTGGGAAAGAGTCGGCTGGTATCTGGGGAACTTCCTTAGTGGTTGTTACTGTCTCGAGATGGTTGATACGACCCTTGGCTGTCTGTCTCTGTCTGTCTCTCCTCCTCCTCCTCCTAAGCGGGCTCTAACTTCATGGATTTAAGTTTGTTATTGAAGTATTAAACTTAATCTCCTGCCTCCAGCTTATTACACCCATCTTGATGAAAGCTTGAAGTCAGTACAGCTTATTTGGCTGACGTTAACTTGAGTCAGTAAACATGTTTGTGTAAGTTTGTTAAGTATTTTAAGACTTTAGGTGAGTGTGTAAGTGAGTCCGTAAGTGTGCAAGTAAGTTTGTAAGTAAGCTTGTAAGTATATGTATGTTTGTAAGTGAGCCTCACCGTCACACCACCACCATACCTGCCTTGATACACTCATAATGGGTTTATCCCCTGAGGACACACCTGGCCATTTCTTACCTGAGGTGAAGCCGTCTTGTGTAGGGCAGGTGATAGAGTTGTGTAGTGATTTAAATGATGGTCTTGTCTTTACTTACACTATTGGTTACTTATTTTTTGTTCTTTGTCGAAATATAAGTCACTTTCGGGGTTAATAAGTCACTTTCGGCGTTAATAAGTTAATTGCGGTCGTACATGCCATGGTCCGCCCTTCCTTCCGTTTACTATGGACGCATCACAACACACACAGCCTTGAGGGGTCTACCGTCTTCCAGCAATTCTACTCTTGCATAAATCCTAAACTGTTATTCATATTCTTTATAAAAAACATTCTTAACGTCTGTAAACTATTTCATCCTTGTGTAATATTGCCTTATGTGCGTGGCAGCCCATTATCTTACGTGTTAGAGCCATATTGTGATGTTTTAAACTGTGATGGGAGTTTCATGGATAAAGTTTTCATTATATGCAGATGTGATGGTGGTGTACAGCGTGTGTAGGCCGTGACGTCACTCAATATGGCTGCCAGGCTTGGACCAGAGGAGTTGGATGTTCCTAAGATCGTAAGGTTTTATTTTCCTTAACCGCAGACATGAGAGTTGAGCTAACCTAACCTTACCTTAACCCTACCCTACTTATAGCACACACAGAGGAGGTGAAAAGGTGTGCTTCAAGACTCAACCTAAACAAGATATTTTCTGGCGCCTTTGTTTCGATGCAAATGAACACCTTGAGAACAGGTGCCCGGCCACAGGTGTGTGAGACTATTACCTGATCTCTTGCTGTGCTCCCTCCTTCCTTCCTTCACTCACCCATTCTGTTCTTCCTGCCTTCCCTTCCCCCATCTTTCACTCGTTCCCTCCCTCCATATCTTCCTCTCTCTATCTCCCCCTCCCTCCCTCTCTCACTTATTCATTCCCTGCCTAATTCACTCCTTCCTTCCTTCCTTCCTCCCATCCTTCCCTCCTCCCATCCGTCCCTCCTGTCCAATACTGAACGATAAAATGTGCTGGAAATGTGTATCACTTAAACTGTCTAAATACCGTCCTGTCTATCTGTCTGTCTGTAAAAATGCCAATAACCAACCCACTTAAACTACGACACAAACATACTAACAATGAAATTACTCACACGCACACACACACACACACACACACACACACACACACACACTCTTCCTCATTATTCCCGGGACACCATAGTCGTTGCTTTCTCTTGGTTCGCCTCAACAACAGCTGTAGTTTATCACTACACGCGCCCATAAGCCGGTCCTGCTCACCCTCCTCCTCACAGTCAACATATTCTCCCTGATCACGTATTGTGGTTGTTCCTGTCAGCTGTTAAACTAATAGACTCGTACTGTTACTGTACTATTGTGTCTCGTGGTGGTGGTGGTGGTGGTAATGGTCGGGAGGCAGTGTAGAGGCGGTATACTGTAAACTAAGTCTTCAGTACACAAGGAGTTAATAAGGGCGGTACTGTACTTAACCATCTCCACGTCTCCCAAATGTAAAGTTCGGTACCCATGCACAAGTGGATGGACTAGGGGCGCCCTAGTCTCAAACTATGGACGCTTTAGGGTAGAGAGTGAGTGTCGTGTCCACTCTGCCACTCTCCCTCACAATACCATGACTCAATATTCTCAGAACATCGTAATATAATCTCTTCTCCTGACTGGTGTTGTGAGGAAGAATCAAATTGGTTTTTGTTACATCACCAACATGGCGACCAAGATGATGCTGAAACTGTACCGAGACTTTAGTGAGAGACGAACATAATCTCTTTTTAACGAGACGAATAAGAGTAAAAGTTAAGAATCTCGACGGATCAAGACTTAAGCCGCAAACACACAGTCTGTCAGCGTGTGTCAGCGTGTGTCAGCGTCTGCCAGTCAGCGGAAGAACCACCACTGGCTGAGAAACACACTGGACGAGTCAGCAAATAGCACAAGTTGGCCGAGAGAGGGTCGTTTAGGTAGAGGTTAGGTTAGGTTACGTTTACAGCAGTTGACCCAGAATGGTAAAAATACGTCTTAGAGGGGGGGACTGCCAGTACAAGAGAACAACAACGCCGGTGTAGACATAGTTTGACACACACACACACACACACACACACACTAAACCCCCTCCTTCCTTCACCATAACTACTCCACCACAGCCCACTCAACACCCTCCACCACAGCCCACTCAACACCCTCCACCACAACCCACTCCACCACTCCACCACACACAACATGCAGGATGAGTGTCAAGATCGTGACAGTAATCTATGACAGGTGAAGGAGGTGGTGACAGCTTCCTCCCCACCTCTTCCTCACCCTCTCCCCCTCCTAACCCTCCTCCCCATCCTCTCCCCACCCAACCTTCCTCCCCATCCTCTCCCCACCCAACCCTCCCTCCCCATCCTCTCCCTCCCCACCTCTTCTCCTCACCCTCTTCCCTCCTAACCTCCTCCCATCCTCTCCCTCCCAACCCTCCCTCCCCATCCTCTCCCCCCCCTCCCAACCCCTCCTCCCCCCATCCTCTCCCTTCCCCAACCCCTCCCTCCCCCATCCCTCTCCCCCCACTACCTCTCTCTCCAATCTCTCTCCCAACCTTCTCCTTCCCTCCTCCCCAACCCTCCTCCCCATCCTCTCCCCACCCAACCCCTCCTCCCTCATCCTCTCCCCACCCAACCCTCCTCCCCATCCTCCCCACTCCAACCCCTCCTCCCCATCCTCTCCTCCCTTCCCTCTCCCCATCTCCCCTCGCCTCCCCATCTCGCCTCCCCTCCCCAAATCCCTATAGTCCATTACAGTAAGTAGTTTCCCCAGCGCTTGAGGATGTAAAAATATATATCAGCGTTAAGGTTGAGTCTCTGAACAATATTGACACCATTTTGTGCAGTAATCTTGTTTCAACTCTTTACTATGTTAATATGTTTATCTATGGTTCAATATTTCTCTTTATTTTTCGCTTATTTATGCATACGTTGTGATGGTGATCGAATATTTTTGATGTATTATGTATAGTGGCTTGTTATCTGTCTCTCTGTGTGTCTGTCAATCTGTTCAAATTAATTACGTATGCAAATTAAGTATGGGGTAAATAAAACCCCTTAGATATAAACAAAATCCAACTCATTCTTAACACATTCCCACAATACCGTATAACACAATCAGTTTCCTGTACTTGTGGTCTGCTGAGGGAATTTTACCTTTACCGTCAAAGGAGAAATAAGGTGAGGGATTTAATTAGCGGTGCAGGTGTGTGTGTGTCATATTGCCTTCTTACTCTCAATGTATTTTACCTGTACCTCCGCTGCTGTTGTTCCTCAGGTGTTTTTGTGTGTTGGGGTGGCTACTTCTCACATCTCTGAGTTAAGGTACTTTCTCCTCTACAGGTACTTTCTCCTACAGGTACTCTCACACTACAGTTATGGGTTAGGTTGTGAACGCCTTAAGAACCTAACTACTGTACCTCCTTCCCTCAACAGGTGAACGGGACGGGTGGGGGGTTATTTAATACCTGCCTGGCCAGTAATTTAATGACGTTTATTTTAGCCTGTCACTCCCCCCCGTTTCCTCCCCATTGACTTTATTACCCTGGGGAGTTAAAGATGATTGGGGTGTGGTGCTGGGGAGGAGAGGGATGGGTGGTGGAGGGGAGGGAAGGAGAAGGAAGAGAGTGGGGAGGGGAGGAGAAGGAAGAGAGTGGGGAGGGGAGGAGAAGGAAGGGGTGAGGTGGGGAGGATGGGGGAGGGAGTAGTACATGGGGTGAGGGATGGTGGGGAAAATAGAAGTGCAAATGGTGGGGATATTGGGGTGGTATGATGGATGGGGCTGTGTTGGGGAGAGGGAGTAGGGATGGTGGCAAGTGACAACAATAACAGCAATAATATCAATAATAACTAAAACAACAATAATAACTATAATAACAATAACCAGCAATAACAACAACTTATACATTATAATTCATTACATCTACAACAATCATAAGTAATTGTGTAATTCCTGTAATACCTGTAATCACCTGTAATACCTGTAATCACCTGTAATACTTGTAATACTTGTAATCACCTGTAATACATGTAATCACCTGTAATACCTGTAATACCTGTAATACTTGTAATCACCTGTAATACCTGTAATCACCTGTAATACCTGTAATCACCTGTAATACACGACTCTGTGCTGTAACATACTTTAACCCGTATATAAAGCCAATCGTTTTAATCACATTTAAAATCTCTTTAATACAATAATATCTCATCCCATAAAATATCTCATCCCATAAACATTAGTTCATATTTGTGCTATTAAATTGTTGCAGCGGTAATAATGAATGCAATTGAAAGTGTGTGTGTGTGTGTGTGTGTGTGTGTGTGTGTGTGTGTGTTTCTCTTGTCACTTTCAAAATTGTCTCGTCATAGTGGGAAGTAATGTTAAATATTTTGACGGATTACCTGATAATTATTAGATACAACAGCTTATAGCACCTGGTGATTAAACATAATGCTAACCTAACCTAACCCTATCTTACTTTAGTTGACCTGACCTGACCTATCCCAACCTAACCTGAACTAACCTAACCTACCCAAATGTAACCTAACCTAACCTTAATTGACCTGATGTACCTTTACCTAACCTAACCTTCCCTATGTATCGGCGTTAAAGGTCACTGTACACTGTAGATCATTCAAGGACGAGCTTAGGGAATTCTTGGTCACCCTCGAGCTCATTCTTGACTCTTGTATTCAGGTCTACTCGATGATATGGCCACCTGCCAGGCCCTCCAACACGTGCTGTAGTCTCTCTCTCTCTCTCTCATTGTAGGGTTAGGTTAGGTGCCACTCCAGCAGGTGAGGAGGAGGAGTGCCACGCCAGACGTCCCGCTGGGTCATGCCGCGTCATGGCTCGCTGCTCACCTGTGACAAGTCTTAACCTGAACATTCCTCCGTCTGATGGGTAGAGAGAGAGAGAGAGAGAGAGAGAGAGAGAGAGAGAGATGACAGTATAGCAACCGTCATACACTCGAGGCATGACAGTTATAATCTCAATCTCATCTGATCTACAAAAATGTATAATATGACAGATTTATGCCAACTGATGTCATATACGATTCATGTAGACTAGGGTTGCCATACGTCCGTATTTTCCCGGACATATCCTCCATTTAGGTCTCGAAATCTTCATCCGGAAGGAATTTTTAAAATTCTTCAAAAGTCCGGAATTTCAGCTTCCATCATTTTCTCCACGGAAAAAAAAAACATGAAACTGTAATGACGGGAGAGAGAGAGAGAGAGAGGGGAGGTGGAAACCGTAGAGATCTCGTTCAGTTTTCGTCAGCTGATAAGTCACTTGTACGCCTGTAGGTGTTGTCAACTTAGCTGTCAAATATTTGATTGATAAGGGGGTAGAAGTTGATGATGTGAAGTGTTTTGACCAAGTTAGTAACCTGATGCAGTTTGTGGAAAATTACAAGTGATGAAGAATTTAGTAATCTGCCAACACATAAAAAGCTGACCAGATACTTTGAAAAATCAAAGAACATTGAATGCCACTCAGAATTGCTAAGAATTGCACAATTCTTCTTTGCTATATCATGTCACAATGCAAATGTAGAAAGAGTTTTTTCACTGATGCAAAGTCAATGGACAAAGGAAAGGAATAAATTGAGTGTTGAAGCAATGAAAGGCATTCTGACCGTACAGTACAACTTCCGAGAAACATCTTGCAGTGACTTCTATACCTTTCTAAAGAGCAATCAGCCAATACTGAAAAAGATCCGATCTACAGAAAAGTATGCATGGGCACACCAAGTCACACACACAGTGGGGGAAGAAGACTGCAGCTAAGGGAATGAAGATATTCA